ACATTTTCCATTTTTAATGGGTAAATCCACTATTTTCAATAGCTATGTTAGTTTACCAGAGGGTAAGTTCAAGGTCCCTCAATCCATGCTGGGCCCATCTACATTCATTTTGCAACTTCCCAGGGTCTTTGATCTCTGTTTGGACCTGCATGATTGGTACCTGAAAATGGGGTATACCATGATATACCGGCTATACCCCCCGCAATTTTAATTGGGAACATGATGGCAAACCAGAGGATTTTTGAAGTACTGGTACCATATTTCATCTAAACCTTGGTGTGACCCAAGTGGGGATTAAAGGGCAGTGTTGATTTGGCAACACGAGGAATGCATGTGACTAACGTACGCGTAAGATGACCAAGATTAGAAGGTCTTGTTGTCTGCCTGAGTCTAGCTGCGATAAGGAATGGGAGGGGCCAGGTTGCGTGCTGTCAAAAGTTTGCTTGACCGTTGATTTGATCAACTTTGGTCTATAACAAGTGCTCTGACAAGAAGTTGGTCCTGCAGATACCACTCGTGGGAATGGCTCAAAACATCTTAAAACCATAGAAGTGTCGGAATCATTTTTGAACATCATTCCTTCACAATATGTCAAGCATGTTATTCACGGATGGTCGCTCAGTCAGCACTTCGTTGATTCGAATACTGGTTGATGTCGCTTGTGTTTGTTGCCATACGACGACATTTTTCATCCCGTCTATCAGATTTCTTCCAGGACAACTGCTTGCACAATGTCACTGATTGCTCTTCGCCCATAGGTGCGGCAGATGCTGGGAGAGCCGCAGATACGTGTACATGTGAGATTTGCAAAGGTATAAGTAGATGTCGATCCCTTGCGGATGCGTCTGTTTCACGGGTCTTCTTTACTCATATGACGATCCCACCTTTGAGAATTGGATACCCCTGATATCCCCTGGTTCCATGTTAATCATCATTTTCCCCTTTAAGATGTTTTAAGACTACGTATACCGTATACTCAGACACATCCATATGATAGATATGCATCAAATCATGGTCGACGTTGCCAAGAAAAAGAGAAGCCCTGAGATGAGTGAGGCGCTGGTGAGACGTGTACTGTCACCTGTGGCAATGCATACCAAGGTGGGAGGGAACGAGTATTGCACAGGTTTCGCTGAGAATATGATCCTGGTGAAACAGAAAAGATCAGAAAAGAAAGCAGTGCTGCCAGAAATTTGTTGCAACTTGCCCCAGATGACGTCACTACCTGCAATTGGACAAGTCATTCTCTTCAGATTCTCGCCATGTGCACGATGTGACAGGGGAGCCGACTGTCGCCATGTGTCCAGCAGACAACATTGATTCTCAGGGAGATGTTGTTGGCTACTCAGTGAATCCCTGTTTGCCCCTGCTTGGATGTGTATTTCAGACGTTGTTACCCTCTGGTAAATTAACATAGACCCTGAAAATCACCAATTTTTAGAGGAAACTAATCTTCCAACCCCTATCTACCAGGGTCTATGTTAATTTACTGGAGGGTAGTGGTTTATAACCCAGATAATACTGTACTTGTACATGATAATACCGTATAATACCAGCTAGAATCGGGGATATCGGGATATTCCATATGTGTCCATATGTAACTATGCGATTGGGGTATTTTATTTGTTCTTAGCCACGGAACTCAATTGGGTGCCCCGAGTGGATATCAGCTTCTAATTCTTTGGACCATTGGACTTATGGACAGAAAGTTGATGCTTTGTTGCGCTTCCACAATGCAGCTTTGACATTTTGAAACATTTGAAATGGATTGAATCTAACATAGTTGCGTAATTTCAATATGGACTCGATGTATGTTTCATGATGTTTCGATTTTATGTGGGATCCAGCGTTTGTACCCCTTTTTTTTACCATACACCAAGTCACCATTTTTTAATGGGAGGTAACACTGGTAAAACACCTGTGGCCCCCCAGTCAGGACACCGATCTCTCGGATTTTGAGGTCGTCGAGTTGCCGCAGTGTAGCCTCTACTGTCCAGATCCAGATCCTATGCCCCCAGGCCCGGTGACAGCAAATGACTAGATAGAAATAGATTGTTTCACTGGTTTGTTGCTCCACAAGAGCCAATTTTATGGCACAGTTATAGATGGTTTATTCCATGTTTATTCCATAATTTCCATATGATTTCCATATAATTTCCATATAATTTCCATCTGTGAATTCATTAAAAATGGCTGAAGATTTTCCATAAAGCCTCCAACCAACTTACCGGGATCCCATTCTTTGGATTTCAGCGTGCATCCCATCCTTAGGATGGTCATCAGATGTCAACTAGAAACGATGAGTTTTAATCCAATATTCAACTGATTTGGATATTATATATATATATTGGATATTGTCCATATCTACATCTCAATGGTCATCAGAGTCATCATCCACCAACAATTTGAATCCCATATATATATATAATAAATATATATATATATATATACAGATGTCCATAAAATCCGGCACTTTCAAATTGTTGTGAACGGTGCGTGCAGATCCCCGTGACGCGCTGCTTCAAAACCAATGGTTCCGACGTGGCGGTTCCAAAGTTTGAGACTAGACATATTGGAAGATGGTCATCAATCCCTTAGTGATTCTATAGCCATTACCCCCTGGTTATGACTAACATAGCCATGGTATAGATGGCCCATAGAAATAGATGGTTTACCTATTAAAAATGGCCATTTTCATTAGCTATGTTAGTTTACCAGAGGGTATGTGTGGAATCCTATTTATCATGGTGAGATGACCACAAGACATATAGAGTATCATCTTTTGAACATGATACGTATGACACTTTGACGTATATGATGGAAAATATCAAGCTGTGATAACATGGCAGCAATGCCAGACTATGGCAGCCATGGTCATACTACGGCTATATCATTGCCATATCTGCCATATCTGAATATATCTGACCCTTTTCTGATTCGTGCAGGCTACGACCTCTTTGTAGACTACTTGGGTGGCCCGGCAGGATAGTACCACTGGCGCTAGCACTCCTGCGAACGAAACATCTTATAATCACCCGGCATGGAATGAAATACTCGCTGTTATTCCAGCTATGGCATTCTATAGAGATATCTGGAGTGATGTATACATATCATTGAGCAAGGGATCAAGTCGCCCCTATCATAGAATCAGAGCAAAGATGGTTGGTTTGAATTTGAATCCGCAGCGGACTTGCTTGGAGATGTTCCATAACTCGCCTTATACACCAGCACCCCTCAATGATTTGCAAACTTCCCCTGTAATTGACCACTCAACATCTGCGGACTGCGAGTCCTATGATTTTTCAAATCTATTTCTAACATTTTCTAAGCACGATAGAAGTGGGCACACACAACAATACGTTAAACCAATTGCACATCAATTGCACTTCTTCGACAGCCGACCGCACAATTGTCTGTCGCGGCTGATGTCGGCGTACATAACCACAACGAAGTCACAAAGTCGACTCAGGTCGACGAGAGGTTCGATGTGCTCAAGGATATGTTGGTCAAGCGCAAAGACTCTTGGTTTCAAACATAGGACTTATTTTTAGAGGCTGCATCCCTAGTTAGGATAGGCATGCTCACGATGAATGACTACTAGAATGAATGAAGACAAAATGATTATGGACTTGCTGATGAAAATGATGATGACGATGACGATGACGATGATGATGTGGTGGAGGTGGAGGAGATGATGGTGGTGGTGGTGGTTATGTCGGTTACTGGTATGTTTTGATTTTGATGATTGATTTCAGCTGACAACGCTGATTTTGGTGATGCTGATGATCAGTGATGACGTGCATATGAGGACCATGTTCACATATATTCGCCACATATTCACCAGATATTCACCACATATTCACCAACACGTCACATTGACAATGATCATCATTGAATCATAATGACACTGGCAATGGGACGACGGGCAGACAGGAATTTTGGAGGTATTTTGGGGATGCTGGATATGCTGAGGACAGGAAGGATCAATGCTTCAAGTAATCAAAAAAATCAAACATTCAATATCCAATACCGTTGAATATCATTCCTGATTGGTGGTTTGGAACATGGCTTTTATGACTTTACATATACTGGAAATGTCATCATCCCAACTGACGAACTCATTTTTTCGGAGGGGTAGGTATACCACCAACCAGATAACATTCAATATCGAATATAGTTGAATATCATTCAGTTGTTATAAAATACATTAAAGTACCATGTTTTTAAACTTCTAAGTGCCTACCGCAAACTGTTGCCGAGTTTGGCCTCGGGGACTGCCGCCATTTAAGGGCGGTTGCCCGGCACGCTTTTCGACCTCAGGTCAGTGCTTGCTACTGGAAGGCTGCAGGTAGGGTCGCTTCAGGAAACCCAATCTCTGATCCAGAAATGGGATGAATCGAGCTTGGTGATGGGTGATGACCATCTGACCGAAGTTGATAGAATTTGGAGAGACTTGGAGAGGCTCCCATTGAAGGCTTCATAGAATTGGATGATGGGAAAATTTACAGGAAAGCCCGGCAGCCCTATATTTGATGGTAAAAACCATGGTTTCCTGTAGATTTTCCCTTAAACCAATCCAATGAAGGCCGTTGTCTTCTCCGAGGCAACTCATGACATGCTGCATTCCCTGCCAGGTCAGAACTTCAGCTCACAGGTTGTTTGGAGCCCTGGGGTATCCTGGGGTGCTGCGACGCATGACGTGCGTGGTGGATATGAATGGTCAAAAGCAAATAGGCTAGTAAAGAGGAAAGAACAAGCTGGTATAAACATCCCGCCGGGTGGGAAACTGAACCCACGTTTTGTCTGTTCTTGGCGTTCATATGCTAGACATTGGATGCGAAGCATAAACATGTATATATAAACATGTGAGAAGAAAATAGAGAAATGAACATTGGAAGATGTTAGAACATGTTAGAACCAGAATCGGCCGAGCGACTACTGCGTGCTGTGATGGACATTTGCTCCCAGGTTTGAAGCTGGAACCCTGCCTTCCATTGGCTATGCTGCATGCTGAGCGATATGACATGGCAGGTGCCGGAAGGGTCTGAGACTGATTTGCTCCTATTTCGGCACGGGTATTCCATAGGCATTTCATGATCACTGTTCAAAACCCTGGTTGGCTAGTGATTGTTGGGTTTCCGTTTTTTCTTATGTATTGGAGATTGTCACCATCCATGACGGGAAGCCTTGTTAAACATTGTTAAACATCATTTAATTTATACATGTCTAAAAACGTACAAAATTGCGAGGGTTTCCGCTTGCATGTGCTGTCAAATCATACAGGTCAACTGGTCAACTTGTAAATTCTGTTCACATCCAACGAATAGGCGAAGGCCATGGCTGACCATATGCACAACGACTGATACCGAAGCACGTGCACAACGAGTCATACTCATACTGAAGCTGACAGCATGCGATATATCTATCTCTATCTCTCTCTCTATCCTCTATATCTAATATCTAATATCTAATGTTTAATATCTAATATCTCTATCTCTCTATCTCTCTATCTTTCTATCTCTCTATCTCTCTATGTATCTATCTATCCATCCATCTATCTATCTATCTATCCATCCATCTATCCATCTATCCATCTATCCATCTATCCATCTATCCATCTATCCATCTATCTACCTATCTACCTATCTACCTATCTACCTATCTACCTATCTACCTATCTACCTATCTACCTATCTACCTATCTACCTATCTACCTATCTACCTATCTATCTATCTATCTATCTCTCTCTCTATCTATATCTCTCTATATGTCTCTAATCTATCTATCTATCTATCTATCCATCCATCTATCTATGTATCTATCTATCTACCTTCATATCTATGATTCTACCTGTATACATTTATACATGGCGCATTGACCCAGTAAATTGGCCACCAGGCTGTGACCGAGTCATGCCCGGTTCTTCATGTGCCATCTCCTGTCGATCTCCCTGGACGGGAGAGCAGGCAATTCGACCGACCGGGCGAGCTCGGGGGGGGACCTCTTGGGATAAAATCTGGTGATTTTACCATCCATTTACTAGTGTTTCTGTCAGCACTTGTGCTATGCCCCAAACTCTTTCGGGCTGATTGTCAGAACCCTCGTTCTTGGCGACCTTTGCAGTACTTTGTGGCCTTCCACCATGTTGGAATGTTATACCCTCTGGTAAATTAACATAGACCCTGGCAGATAGGGGTTGGAAGACTAGTTTCCATTAAAAAAATGTTATTTTCAGGGTCTATGTTTATTTACCAGAGGGTAAATCATATCATATATTATATATCTATGCAACCACGGCGGGTTCTAGAAATATCTAGAAATGATGCGACCAGTGGAATCATCTGAACATTTGATCCAAAATCATCAAAATCGCCATATTTTCTCATGTTTCTAATAGCCAGATCCACTACAGTTTGTCTTAAACCCCAGATTCACCGGCAACATTTTACCTCTCTGAATTCACCCTGACTATCTCTTGCCGCATCCACCAAGTGAGTTTGGCATGGTTCACACTAGAAGATGGACTTGTATTATTTTTTCTATCACTACACATATATATATATGTATGTATTGTATAAATTATATTATGAAATTTTAATGACGCTCTGCAATGAGGCTTGGCATTAATTAGTTGGGTTTACATGGCATTGTGTATGGCCTAGTCGTGCAAGGGTGTTGTTGGACAAATGTATCCCATCGCTTTTGGGTCGGGAACACGATCCTCTTTTGTATGACTCTGATGCAGAAAAAACACATTAACACGTGCACATACATGTTGTCGTAATGCCCCGGCACTCATTACTTTGATAACTTCAATATCCGGAGTATTGGAACCATGGCGATCCAAAGGGTGTGTCTTAAAATTGGGTATTCATGTCTATTATGTTTTATATGGGACATTAATGTATATATAGTCATAGTACTCATATATATATATATATACACATAGAGGGGTATTCATGTCTATTAAAATGGGGTATACCATTATATACCTGGGTATCGGTATGGGTCAAAATTTTCGTACCCCAGTTATTGGATGGTTAATACTTTTACAATAAACTTTTTTCATCTCCCAGGTACCCCAGGTCCGCCAAATTTGGACCGATACCCACCTTGCTACGTCCGTGGCGTCAGGCTGTAGCTCGTTGCCCAGAGAACAACATCGACCCTGATCAGCCGTTGATTCTGCCTGAGGAGATCCGCTGAAACACAGCGGGATCGCCCAAAAAACATGGCAGTGTTATGACCGGATAAATCACCAGATTTATGCAGTGTTAATATATGACTGGGTGGTGGTTTGGAACCATGGACTTTTATGACTTTCCATATATTGGGAAATTCATCAATCCCAACTGACGAACTCAGATTTTTCAGAGGGGTTGCAGTGTTATGGATCAATATGCCATGTTCTAAAATTTTGGTCATCCATTTACCAGCTAATATATGGCTCTGGAATGCTATGGATCAACATGAATACAATTTTCAGGAACATCCATTTACCAGCTATACTGGGGTTCACCAAAGGTACAAGGTTTTGACCCATCATATGTTTCGAATGGGGGAATCGTTGGAAGAAAATGGATCAGCCAGTGGATGATTGTCCAGTACACCAAGTTTGATTACCGGAGGATACCTCTAAATCCTCAAAAATTGGTCGTTTTGAATGGGGAACATGTTTTTTTTTTGTGTGTGTGTAGCTGGACATGAAAAATCGCAGAATGAAGATGATGTTTTTTTTAAGCACACACAATTTTGGTTGACCTCCGGATATGCACTTGAGGAACACGTTTGGTTGCGTGTGTCGCTCTGTTTACATTGAGGCGACAATGTACAAGATGTGTAATTATGTGGATTCCGCGAATTTGGGCAAAAGCATGTACACATATTGAGGTACACGTATGTACATTTGATATCGTTTGATTATTCTTCAAATCCAGACGGGACATGTTGCCCAGCTTTCTTTTGGTTGCAGCCTGTTTTTGGATAGTGTTCCCTATTTTATGGAAAATGCAAAGCATGGTCAAAAGGGAGCCAGGCCCAAGATATATCTTGCCACATGCTGTCTTCATCATGCATGATCTCCTGGAATTGGACCTCCAATCTATTCAGAACTGGTTGGTGGTTTGGAACATGGCTTTTATCAATGGCCATTTCAGGAACCTAAATTGGAGGTACCTAACATATATAAGGCCTATGTAAGGGCTATGTAAGGGGATATACCCCCAAAATATGGACTTATATGGTACAGTACCTCCATTTTAGGATCCTGGAATTCCCATTGATTTTATTTTTCCGTATTTTGGGAAGAATCATTACATTTGAGCGGTAGGTATACCACCAATCAGAGAAGCTTCTTCACACATTCAACCCAGGTTGACGTTGAAATCGCAGGAGATTAGGATGAATCGACATGGGATCTTCTACAACAGTTTGTGGCCTCCAAAGTGTCTTGGTGAAGCAAACTGTGGAGCTTCTCACGACTCACCGCGACATCACTTTTAGATGGTGTGTAAAAGGACCCTGCCCGAAATGATCAGAAATTTTGGGCTTTGATTTAACCAGATAAAATGAGGTTGGCTCGGCCCCATTCATTTATGTGCTATATAGTACGTCCTAGTTTTTCTTGGATATTCTTTCGATTGTATGTCGTGCAGTTGTGGCCATTGATATTTTCTTTTCTGCCTCTTCACGGTCTTTTTTTATTGAACATATTGAGATTCTGACAAGCATAGGCACGCCAATTTGTTGCCTACAGTGGTTGGCACAACCGCCACAGTTTAACCATGTTTAACCTATTTTAACCTAGTTTTTATTGAGAAGACTCCTGAGGTGAATGTCCCTAGATTTTGTGATGTAGCCAGGCAATGGGTCTGTGACATGCCAGAATATTACTGGGTTTCCATAGGCATGGGGGTACCCCCATAGCTGGATGGTTTATACTGGAAAATTCTATTAAGATGGATGATTTAGGCGTATTCCCATTTTAGGAAAACCTTCATATATGTCAGAGAATGCAGACAATGAGTGGCATGAAATTAGCGTCAGAGCAAACGTTATCGGCAGCACGTGCGCTACGCCACACAGGTTTTCCCACTGTATATTTTTCACAGGGTTTTTGCATGGTTATGGAGGATTTCACAGTGGTTCTTTGGGGTTCATTTAGATTTAGGGTTTCTTTAGAGTTAATTTATTTCTATTTTCCTAGTGTTTTTCTACGTAGCTTTTTTAATGGTCTATATAAGAGTGACCAAAAAAACAAGTTTGGGAGCCTGCCGAATCCCTACAAAGGGTCATCAACGACGTCTCTGGATTCACAAACCCAGAGACATCAAGTTAATTATAACATTCCAACATGGTGGAAGGCCACAAAGTACTGCAAAGGTCGCCAAAAACGAGGGTTCTGACAATCAGCCCGAAAGAGTTTGGGGCATAGTACAAGTGCTGACAGAAACACTAGAATAATTACATGTTAGAAGAAATATGAAGAAATGTTACATGGGATTTGCCAGATATATAATATAATGCCAAACTATTTGCGAGAGTTGATGTCAAAATAGCTACCCGACTATATGCCAAATATATTTCATGTTCAAGGCATGTCAGGCTGGATGCCAGATTTTGCGACAGAACATTTGCCAGGAGAAATGTGTGAACCTACGTCAAAATTTATATCGATAATAATTCTGAAGATATTTGTACCTCGGGATCAGCACCAGCATTCTGGAGCGTTCTATTCTGGGTGTGGTTGTTGTTGTGTTGCTGCTGTTATCTGCTGTTAGTGGCCCTGGGGTGTCTCAAGAGGCTAGGTACTTATGTTGCTCCCAAACCCACCAAAAAAAGGAATTCAACAGCCCCCATCCAAATTTCCTAACGAAGTTTGGCTTTCATTTACCCTCTGGTTATGACTAACATAGCCATGGTATAGATGGCCCATTTATAGATGGTTTACCTATTAAAAATGGTGATTTTCCATGGCTATGTTAGTCATAATCAGATGGTAGTAGGATTGGTTCATATTGGTTCTAAATCAGAGAGCCAATTCCTACCCGCTACCAGTCATGACGGTCGCGCCACCGTGAACCCCACAGGTGTTTCTTGCGCTGTGATTCTGTGCCTGTGGGATACGAGAAGGCCGAGACGTGAATGACATGTTTGAGCCGTGAAAGAAAACATCCGATAGGTTGAGTTGCATAGTAATGGTTTTATTCTACTATTGTTTATTGTGATAATGGTTTCATTATGCAACTATTTGGTTTATAGTGGATAATTATGACCAGCCAGGCCCATTATGATGGGTTTTTTTTAAACCTACCAGAATCATGGGATGGCATGATGGGATGGATGTATTTTTCAATGGTTGTTTTTACATGAGAATAGGTTTTTTAATGGTTGTTTTCACTTGAGAAGAGGTGGCAGGAATGCTTGGAATCTTCGGTTTGACTCCCCACTCCGTTGCAAAGATCGTTTTTATATAGATGTTTCTAGACTCCACTGGAGACGTCACTTTTAGGCTGGTCCAGTTTGGCAGACAACTGTGTCACTGGGTGAAGACCAACCAACCCCCGAGTTCATCGGCAACAGAATCACCCATGCCCCGAGCAGATTGGATAGAAAGCAGATCTTTTTATATATATATATATCTTTATATATATATATATCTTTATATATATATATATCTTTATATATATATATCTTTATATATATATATGCATATCTTTATATATATATATGTATATATATATATATACATATCATTATATATATATATATGTATTAAATATATAAATGATTATATATATATATATTATGTATGCATCAACACATTCATGTACATGCTGGCACCCCATCATACACACACAGGTACCCCATACACACACAGGTACCCCATACACACACAGGTATATATATATATATATACATGAAAGACACATATGTAAATATACGGGCAAATGATATATGTATATCCATATTGATATAATATATGTATATATATATATATGCATATATATATATATATATGCATTTATTTATATACAGTTATGTACATAGTTATGTATATAGTTATGTATATAGGCATGTGTATATACATATATATATACACGTATACATTTAATGTACATCTCCACACACGATGAAGTCGTAGGTGGTTTTTCCATGACAGTGCCAGGAGTTGCTTCAAACCAACGATACGATAGGGCATTTAAAGTATATGTATGTATATATATATATTATATTATATATATTATATTATATTATATCATATTATATTATATATTATATTATATTATATTATACATTATATTATATATTATATTATATATTATATTATATATTATATTATACATTATATTATATATTATATTATATATTATATTTTATTATAAATTATATTATATATTATATATATTATATTATATATTATATTATATATTATATATATATTATATTATATTATATATATATTATATATTATATTATATTATATTATATTATATTATATTATATAAGAGGTCTATTGATATATGTTCGATCTATATGTTACAATGTTAGATCTATATGTTAGAGATTGATATTTGAACATGTATATGTGTATACACAATATATACACATGTATTCTCGTTTATTCTTCATACTCTTGATTACAATAACTCTGTATTACATATCATTACATATGCATATTATCAATATTCTATGTTTCATATGTCATATGTCTGGGTAAATTATAACGACCTCACTGCGACCTCACTGGAATCATGGTTAATAAGAGGAATCATCCCAAAATGGCCTTATTTCAGGTAAGTGAATTATTATAATTTGCCCAGAGATGTGCAGCCCCATAGTACATCAACGAAAATCGCCTAGGCCGGACTCCGCTGACCCGGCCTGACCCTGACAGGTTCAAGACGGCCGTTGGCGCTGCGCGCCTGGCTTTCACGGCTCGGTGGCATCAAAGAGCTGCAGAAATCGTGGCATCTGTCGGGAGGTGCGGGTTGAAGATTTCCCATGAGATGCTGCTACTATGATTGATAAAGACATATAAAGACACATCTATTTCATTCTATTTTCATATGGTTTTATTGCACAGATAATCATATGCATATTTCATCATATGCATATTTCAATATTTATCTAATCATATGTTTCATCATCATATATATATGTACACACATTGTATTTAACATGTCAGAAATCATCCCAAGAAAGAACGGTGACGTCACTGCAAGGATTTCAGCCATTTCGAGAAATGTTTTCAGATGAAAACCCTGAAGTTTCAACTTGTTTTGCAAGGTGGGAAATCATATGCAATGAGGCTATTTCGATATGTTTGAAATCCATTATTTGTCCAGAAATGTTTCGTAAAAGCAAGGTTGAATGGTCGAAACATTACTGAACTGGTTGGTGGTTTGGAACAGCCGCGTTGCCCAAGCTTTCCAGTAGTACGGCCGTACTTCACCGAACGTGGGCGGGTCTGTCTAACCTGTTCTTGCTATGGCTTGCAACTCTCCATGGAACTGGCATAGATCGACCTGGGCTGTGTCACTGATTTGGTTTGTTCTGTCAAGGTTTGACCCTGAGCTGTCGGCCCACCTGATGGTTTCCAGAACGGATTCAGTTCCCTTTCTCTATGAGGGCATGTTGGATGCGGGTTTCACCGTCTTCACCTTGTTCAATGCTGGGTTGGAGAAATCGTATCCTGTGCCGGAGGTGGTTGCCAACAACGAGCTTGTGGTTTTGGGTCGCCATCAGCCTTCCTGGGTCTCTCCTCATGCTGGGATTGACCTTTGCTCTGGTTTTGGGGGCCGTTCACAAGGGTCCGAAGCTGCAGGTTTCTACATTACAGTAGCTGTTGATGAAAATGGGTTGAGGCTCGATCCGCATGACCCCGTGCACGCAGCCCATTGCCTATGCGGGGACACTGGAGATTGTACCATGATCCAGGAAATCTGGAGTCCTTCTCGAGGTGCTTCAGTTGTTTCTGGTGGCTCCAGTTGCCGACCTTTCTCACGGCTTGGTGACTGCAAGGGTCAAATTGATACGAGGGCTTGCTGCCTCACCCAGTCTTCGAATGCTGCGCTTTACCTGATTGACGCCTGTGTCACTTTGGACTGCGCTGCCCTGGCCGCACATGACAGTTTCGCTCTCGCTGACCTCGATCGATTTTGCAAAGTCACTGGGTTTCACTGTACACAGATTGAGCTTCTATATGATCATGTGTGGGCTTGCCGACGGTACTGCTCATGGTGGGTTCTGTCCTGGCCTGGTGGTGGTAATGTTCATCTGCGACCACGGCCTACGTTGAGCAACATTTGTGCGGTTCAACAGATTTTAGTCGCGGACCTGCTTGCCTGTGCACCTTGTGCCTATGGTCGCGCTATACTGCAAGATTTATACAGGTCTACGACGCTGGTTGGGCATGAACAAAGAGGTATCAGTGTACAGAGGTTGGCGCTCACATTTCAAGCCCTGAGCCTTGTCTATTGGGTAGCGTGGATTTTCAGGGGTTTGGCCGTGTGCCGTATTGCATCTTCTCGATGCTTTGTGTCTGTTTCACAATTGGGGTTCTGCAATTTTTGGGAGGTCACAAATACCCCCCGTTGCTGCTTCCCCGGGGTTTTGTGGCCAATGTGCCGGTTGCACTGCATTGTTCGTAGGTTTTCCACTGTCGGTGGGGACTCTTCCTTTCAGTGTTGCCCTTTGGTAGTTGGCCGCTTTCTGGCATTTCCACTGGTAGGTCTCTGATGCACCCAAGACGGGTCACGTCCTCTCAACGTGACGCGCGCAGCAAACTGGGACAAACTGGTGGTTTGGAACATGGCTTTTATGACTTTCCATATATTGGGAATTTCACACTCCCAACTGACGAAGTCACATTTTTTCAGAGGGTTAGGTATACCACCAGTAAAGTAACGCCTTCAACAGACTCAGTGACTGGTTTGTTGGAGAATGCACCATCAACAAATAGGGGTCTAATAGATCTAATATGCTGGAAAATGGCTTCTCATATGTTTTATATATGTTTTATACATGTTATATATATATATGTATATGGTATTAAATGCATATATAGTGAGTTGTAATGGTTACATACTGTCGGATTTTTTCGTTTTACTTGGAGCAGCCAACGAATCGTAGCTGATTAGTACCTGGGATTATAAGCCATGTATAAATGGGATAACTCAATGTAAGGGACTTACAATCACCACTTGGATGTGCATCCCACTTAGTAAGTTGTCTATTATCCATATATAACCCATGCCATATGTTTAGGCTTACAAACGCTTACAGTGCCACAATCACGAGCACTATGGATATGGCACTGTGGGATGATCCTCCAATGTCAATGGCCATGACTCAGGAACCGATTGATTGGAGGTACCTACCATATATATATATATATATATAAGGCCCTTTTTTTCAGGCCCAAATTTCAGGGGATATCCCCACAATTCATATGGTCAAACATATGGTACGTTTACGTACCTCCAGTGACAATGGAAGTCTTATCCATGTCTAGCCCCCAGAAAAATGTCGTTGGATTACCCGCAAGCATTGTAGAAATCCATGGCGAAAAAGGTCACCATGGCTTTTCCCAGAAAAAAATGGCCGTTTGAATGGGGATAAATGATGGTCAACCAGTGGATGGAATGGGGTACAGTACTTTTTCCTCATACATATTGTAATATATATATATGTAATATATATACAATATGATATATATATATATATATACAATATGATATATATATATATGTATTTTATATTATATTGTATTGTATTATATTATATTATATGATATTATATTAAATATTATATTATATTATAATATATAATATATAATATATAATATATTATATATTATATATTATATATTATATATTATTTATTATATATTATATATTATTTATTATATATTATATATCATATATTATATATTATATCATATAATATATTTATATATTTATATATATATATCATATATCATATATCATATATCATATATTATATATTATACATTTTTTATTATATAATATTTTTAAATATTGTATATATTTCCCGACAAATTCAATGAGCCAAGAACAAGGCCATCTTGACATCTTGATATTTCCGGGGTCTCATCCCATATTCAATGGATTGGTTTAAGGGAAAATCTACAGGAACCCATAGATCTTCCCATTAAATATGGGGTTTTAACAATCCATTGAATTGTTTCCCAGTAAGATTTCCCTGAAACCATAGGTTTTCCCAGTAAAGTTTCCCTTAAAACAATTCATTGACACATGGGCGCCACATGAATCCCCGCTGTGAGGCCCTGCAGCTGGAAGGATGCTCCGAACTGATTCCCTGCCTCTGGGACGATGGACTCACGGCGGATGCAATGATTATATAGTAGTTACCTAGTATATGTAAGAATGACATACAATGACAATGTATTGATCATTAAAAAAATCAAATATCAGATCATATATTTGATTAATGATCAAACAATCTTCCATAGGAATGATGAGAATTGATTGATACCCTCTGGTTATTCACGTCGCTTCGTGACGGCAACCGCCCGCACCGCATCGTATATCGAGTGAACGGTCCACACTGTTAATGATGTCAGCCATTGTTCTCTTCTACTGCCATTGTTCTCTTCTATTGCCGTCGCTCCGCGACAAGAACCCCTGTGCGGCCGCCACGGTTTGAACGATGTTGTTCTCACACCTTCGCGACCGCTCGTAACTGCCAATGATGTCGGCCATTGAGACCAAAAACATCCGAAAGTACTGATTGTCGGAAAAAAAAAACGCGAAGAATTTGATAGCCATGTATAGCGGACCAACGCAGTTCAAAAAAGAACGAAAAACATGAAAAAACGGCGAAATTGCTGTTATTTACAGTGTTTTTGCGCGGTGAGAAGCAGAAACCACTGCAAATACATGGTTTTTGAGGGTCAGGTGGCCAAAAACACTGTAATTTACAGTGTTTTTTTAACCAACGTCAAAAAACACTGGTATTTACGATGTTTTCATTCACACCGTAACATAAAACAGCGTAATTTACGAAGTTTTTGGAAGTTTTGAAGCTAGCCGTCAAGCATGCAGAAAACAGAAAAACACTGTAAAAACCAGTGTTTCTGCTATCACAAAACGACGAAAATCAGTCCGAAAACGGGTCCAAAAACTCAAAAATCCGCCTCCGGGCCAGGCCACCTGCGGAACCGCAAAAAAAGATGTTGCAAACCAAAAAATTGAGGTCAAAAAGTTGAAAAACACGGGGTTTTTTCACTTTTCGCTTGCCGATTTTGGACGGGCGCGTTCACGAACAGGTGTCTTCCGTACTGTTTTTTACAGTGTTTTTTGAAGGCGAGCGTCACGACCTATCAAAAACAGGAGGTTTTGGCCGAAAAATGCCCCCCCCCCGCCCCCCCAGGTAAACCTGTAACCTTTTACGAGTGCCATCCGGATGATCACGCCCCAGCACCTTCGGTGCGGGCGGATTTAACATAGCCATGGTATAGATGGCCCATAGAAATAGATGGTTTACTTATTAATAGCATGGTGATTTTCCATGGCTATGTTAAATAACCAGGTGGTATATATTCTATTGTATAGTGTAATATATATATATATGTTATGAAAAAAATATTATGCCTTCATCCATCCAACAGTTTTTTTTGCAAGAGATCTGCTGAAAGTGACTGGATTTCGGCTTAGTGAAATCCCTGCAAATTGCTGATCGGCAGGAGGATTTGTGAATTTTGATGCCAATGATTGGTGACTTGATCTATAGAAGATCAGTTTTGTATCATGAAATATGTGAAATTCCATCCCAAAATTTACAAATAGGGGATGGTGTACAAAATATTTTGTATCATACATGTACAAGTATGAAAATTCCATCCCCTAGAGTCCCAGAGCTGCTCTAAGATGTACAAATCAAGTGCCATACTTGTCCCATAAGATCTCCACCCGGCAGTGTTTCTTTTGGGTCAAATCCGCATGGAAGCAGCCAGCCGGGCCAGCCGGGCCAGCCGGGCCAGCGGTCCGACGCATCGAGGTACGATTCCGGGACTCGATGTTTTGATCTCAGTCGCAGAGTTTGGGATCCGAATCCAGTTTTCTGTGATGTTCCACACAACTTTCGAGAAATCTAGGGATAACATGGGATACCATGAAGATTAGGAAAGAGCTAGAGTTTTTTTTGGATAGTAGACTTTGGTATAGTTTTTTTCTAGGTGTAGGATTTCATGAAAGTCCCGTGCAGTGTTTCATCCATGTTCATTCCGACTAAGGCCTGTCGATATGACGTAAGCCACTGCAAGGGTTTCCAGCGAGGAACCAGCTGTGAGGCCCTTTTCCGGCTCCCTGGGGGCCTGGGCCCGGCCAAGTTTTCGTGGCAGAAAGTGGTCAGGTGAAGTGTCGTGCCCCTTACAATGGGACTGCCACTGTGGTGTGCTGCACTCAGTGCTGTTTATTTTTGATGTCCGCCAGTGTGGTGTCCAAGGGGTTGGTGAAGCGACATGGATTTTGCTGGTGCCATTTGCTGTAGGAAAACCATAGGAAAACGATAGGAAAATGGGATTTAATGGGATTTAATGGGATTTAATGGGATTTAATGGGATTTGGCAAAATGTTGAACTGATGTACTGTTCTTTTGTGAGGACAATTCCTGGTTCAGGATGTGTGTTTGTATGGCTTCAATTTGTTGAAGAAAGGAACATATGAACACGAAATGGCAAGTGCAGCATGAATGGCTCTTTCAATTTCTATAGTTGTCTTGACTGCAAAGTTCAGAGTCACGCCGCAACGCAAGATACGCAAGGCATTGCCCAGTGAACAACACTGAGACAAGTGGAGGCAAGGGGGATACAGATGAGCGGTGGCTACAAGACACCCCTGTTGATGATTTTGATGATTCGTTCGGGGGGTTACACTTCCCAAATCTACCCTTCATTTATTGGGAATTAGCAGAATACATCACAATCCACGAGGGGAAGCCCTTTTTTTAGGAACCAACCAGGACAGATCCAATGACAGGGTGTGACTGTGAAGAACAAATCCGTCGAATTCCAAAGATCCTTGAGGTCATTGCTTTTCAACAGTTCCATCTATGCGGCAAACAAATCCAGCCCCTGATTTTCTGATACAAGGAGTTCTTATACAGTGCTAGAAAAAGTAGATACAGGGCTTAAACCATGTTAAACCTATTGAAAACAAGATGCAGCCCACGAACCCGAATGCAGTCACATAGAAGACTTTTGTGAAACAAGTTATTTGAACAGTCTTGTACATTTCCCCCCTGTTACCGTACCAGTGCACTGTAGACTGTGGAATGCGGAAGAGGATGGAGTGCAAAGTGTGGAGTGTAGAGTGTAGAGTGTGGAGCGTAAAGTGTGGAGTGTGGAGTGTGGAGTGGGAAGTGTACAGTGTAAAGTGTAAAGTGTGAAGTGTAGAGTGTAAAGTGTAGAGTATAAAGTGTAGAGAGTAAAGTGTAGAGTGTGGAGTGTAAAGTGTGGAGTGTGGAGTGTAAAGTGTGGAGCGAGGAGTGTAAAGTGTGGAGTGTAGAGTGACAAGTGTAGAGTGTAAAGTGTAGAGTGGGGAGTGTAAACTGAATGTCACGAAGTGCCACGCCTGCCATGCGAAACGAAGCAACGCGACGCTGGAAACCTCCAAAAGTGACCACTTTTGCAGAACTCGCCATAGGCACGGCCATACGGCCCTCACACGGACACTTGTGAACGGTTGGGAACGGCTGAGCATCGTCGAGCGAACAGCCTCAACCCCCAGACCCTCAGAGTGAAACGGGAACCCTTGCTACGCATTCGGGAAAACCCATAGTTTTCATAGTTTAAAATTGGAAAGTGGACCATTGAAAAAAAAAACATCGTCACAGAGCCAGGCCTTGAAGGGGAGCTGCCAGAATGCGTCATCGAGGACTGGTAACACATGACCTGGAAAGGCTTTGATTAATGGTGGATCTGAGATCTTAATGGATGTAAATATATATATATATATATGTATGTATATATATATATATTGTCTAGCATAGTAATATAGATATTCAGATATTCCATGATATTCCCATAGATATTGATATTACCATAGTTATTTCTTCCAGAAGTATGATCTCGAGTAAATATCTGTCAAATTTATGTACTACCATAGAATAGCTGTTATATGTAAAATTGTCAATCCACATTTCGTATTGGACATCCTTGATATGATACCATTGTTTTTCTTGGAGCGCAAATATCGCTGATACTACCAGAGTCTACGGAACTCTCAAGCCATGCAGCTGTTTTTGGCCGCGGTCTCCCTGAAGGAATGTGCTGATCCGGATGTGATTCCTGCGGGCTACGTTCCGGTGGATGCTGCTACACGTTTGCATTGGTTTTGATTCAGAAGGCAGTACAGGTATGTACAGGTATGTAAAGGTGATAGTTCAAACCAGATCAAACCTGCTTGTCTTTTTGCGAACAGTCGTTTTTATGTGTATATATATATAAAGATACATGGTTATACGTATATATATATATATAAATAGTTACCTGGAAAGTCACAGTGCCATTGTTGTTTTGTTTCAACGGCCTTGAATTTTCTCTTGATCATTACGGCTTTGATCATCTGGAGCTGCTTTTGGCGGGGACGACTTGACTGAACATTACTTTTTCCCATGACCAGAACATGTTTGGCTTTTGGTTTTCCAGGTATACATACAATGATGATATATGCATATATATATATATATATATGTGTGATATGATATGATATGATATGATATGGTATGATATGATATGATATGATTGTGTATATATATATAGATTATATTTATATCTACATTATGATGATGGTATGATGATATATACGTATGATATAATATATATATATATGACTATAAATAATACGTGTGTATATATATATATATAGTCTAATATACGATTATATATGATTACATATGAATATATATATATATACACGACACCGGATATATGATATGATATATGATATCCACTGGGAGGATTATCCAACGAATCGTGGTTGTGGTTAAGAAGCCTGCTTGGGGGTGCATCCCACTTGGTAAATGGGTTATATACCCCCCAGATATATATGAAGAATCCCCAATTACATATGGCATGGGTTATATATGGATAATAAACAACTTACTAAGTGGGATGCACATCCAAGCGGTGATTGTAAGTCCCTTACATCGAGTTATCCCATTTATAGATGGGTTATAACCCCAGTTGCTAATCAGCTACGATTCGTGGGTTGATCCTCCAGTCAGCATGATAACCCTGGGATATTGTTCGAAAACCCCAACCAGTACCCTGGTTATCAACTGAAGCTTGACCAGGGTGGAACATCCAAGATAATGTGTGTATAATTATATATATATATATACATATATATATAATACTCAAACATTTTGGTATGGTTTGACGTTTGAACGTGACGTGAAATCAGTTTTCCACAATTCAGGCTTTCACGGACCCAGACAGACCCCATCAGACTCCGAATCCGTTTTTTTAGATCCCACAAGGCCAATGGATTGTGGTCCTGTGCTCCGGGATTCACGGGTCAAGCAGAGAAGCACTGCGTGGCCGAAGTCAGCTCCGCACCGCTGCTGAACCAGGTCCCTAAAAAGATCGGATGATTCAAAAGGATGATTTCGGTGGGAAAATATGGGGTTTCGGATGGGTCCGATAGGGCAATTTTTAGAGGGAAAGATGATGCTCATGATCAAGCATCAATTTTGGGGGGTGCCCTATGTTCAGACAAAGTCATAACAAATAGTGAGCACCATTTTTTGGTGCGCTTGGGGTAGAAACGCATGGCTACAACTATGGCCATTCGAAGCATGATTACATTGGGAGGTGGGTTTTCCTCAGCCGACCAGATCACAGATATTTCAACAACAGCATCTGTTTTGTCGTTGTTTTGTTGAGCCCAAAGAGTGGCCATTTCTGTTCAGATTGCCATATTTTGTTGTGTCATGAAGCGGACTGCCATGATCTCACATCATTATTTCGCCGTCCCGAGGTTGAGTTTCATTGATTCCAAAATATCGCCGGAAAGTGAGGTATTGAATATTATGATGTTCGTTTGGAATAGTACAAAATATCCAATGATTGGTTATTATTGAATATTATAGGTTATTTAAACAGGATTGCAAATCATTGATAACTTGTTTAGTTTGAATCTTATTCAATCTTATTCGACGTTCTTCGAGCGTAATAGATGGGCTGGCGGGTTTGCCTTGTTGCGCAGGCACGATTAGACCAGTATGGCTTGGAGCAGCCAACTTGCGCTGTGCGTGGCTTTCTGGACGGATGTGTCGTAACGCGGCGATAAAGATGTGAAAATCAGAACCGTGTCAAACATGGCGGAAAATCATCTATACGGCTATGGATGAATACCTATAGATACCATTTTTAGGGGGATGAACATCCATAAATCCCAGCTATTTTGATGTGAACTACAGGGGTACAAGGTTTTGACACACTGCCATATAGAAATGGAGGTTTGAATGGAAACATCATCTAAATGGGGGAATTTTCCACTGCCATGTTTAGTCATCGTATCAATTTGTGGTGCATGGAAGTATGGTAGCCTGTCCGTTGACCTCCCGTTGGGTTCATGGATAATGCCCAGAACCTTTGCAATAAGGTGGGTAAAACTGGCTGTCATGAACCATCCCCCAGTCATCACCATTTTTGTAGGTGGTATGTAGAAACCAATCCCAGTCATGGGTGGTTTATGACATTGTTTTCACCACATTAATTCGTGTTGTGCTTAACATACCGCTTTTGAAGAGGATAAACACAAGTAAACGACACTCGAGGTGGCTGAACCCTGTGCTGAGTTTGCAATTCAGGAGGGGCGCGGCTGGACGTCCTGCATTTTGTTTTTGTTTGCATATTTATTGAATGTTATTGAACGTATGCTGAAGAGGTGCTTCTTAAGAATCTGATGATGTTTTTCGAGACTTGAGTCTAGGGCCCCTTTGCAGGATTGTGTTGCTACAGAGAATTCCACAGACTGCAGCAGCCCATTGGGTTTTAGTCGACTTACAGCTTCTGTCCACATGGGACCCTGAAATCCCCTGATTTTGTGATTCTTCAGTAATCAGTATTAGTATATATTAGTCTATGAATTAGTCTAATTTACACCACACATTCTGCAACGTTCAGCTTCTGAGAAAAAATGAAGGGAAGCCAATGATTTTGTTGATGGGAAAAATCATGCTGCAACCCTAGATGTTCCTTTTAATATCTTTTAATCAACCCAGTGAAGAGCACTGGCCTTTTTTTCCGCAGGATAGCTGCATGTTTGCAGCGCCAAGCTGCAACGCCGCAGTGACACCAGAGGCGATGATTGTGTTGTTTTTTTGCTGTTGGTGGGAATGGGATGTGTTGGTGACAATAGATTAACTATGATTAACTTTCAACATGTTGCAGACAATATACATTATAACTATTTATAACTTTTAACATGTTGCAGTTTTCATATATATATATAGATATGAAGATGATGAGGATGAGAATGAGGATTTGATGATGACGACAAAGATGATGCTGGTGGTGGTGATGATGGCGGTGGTGGCGGTGGCGGTGGCGGTGATGGTGATGGTGATGATGATGATGATCATATTATATGTCAAGTTCACAACGTGGTCACTGTATGACAGTTGTGACCATCATTACTCTATTCTGATACGTCTGCGGAAGTTTCAGACAACTTCACTTATTTCACTTTCTCAAATTGCATGGATTTTGAAGTCAATACTCCACTGAAGGAACAGCCTCTCGAAATTGCATTCTGTAGCGTTTGATCAGAAGAAGGTTCTGGCGACCTTGGTACAGTCAGTTCCTTGTGAGTTCGGAGTACAGCCGAAATGGATTTGTCTGAAAATATGATACCCTAATTCCAGTTGATTACCATCCCCTGTTTAAATAGCACTCAGTTGGATTAAGTTGGTGTATTCCGAATTTTTGGACAAAGTGACAAACCCACATGGAAACAGATCGAAGCATCCACTGCACAAATATCGACGACGCAGCGCTGTCCCAGGGTCTAATCATTCCGTCCTTGGCTGCTGGACATTCCTGTGAGGCATTTTTCCGGTCGAGCCATCCGTTGACAGTCCACAAATTCTAAAAACCCAAGACGTTTAAAAAATATGGGTATGGGTCAATACCTATAGATACCATTTTTAGTGGGATGAACATCCATTTACCAGCTATTTTGGGGTTCACTAGGGTACCAAGGTTTTGACTCATACCCATATATCAGTTGGAGAAATTTATGCGATGCAAATTTAGACCTTGTCAGCTGAAATAGGCCCTTTTCATCCGCAAACCAACTCCCGTCCTTTCGATCCACGCCCGGCTTTCGATCGTGTTCCGCAAGGGTTGGACTTGTTTTTTGTCTGGGGTTTATGGCACCGTGAAAAAACATGCCAATTTTAATCACTTCCACTCCTTGGTTCTTCGCATCTAACATTCACGTCATACCAGTCTCACATAGACCCTGGCAGTCATCAGAGTTGGAAGATGGGTTTCCACAAACAAGTGGATACAATTGATGTTTTTCAAGTTTTCAGGGTCGAACTCTTAAATTTACCAGAGGGTAACAATTTATAGTGACATTTATTTTCAGGGTCAAAGGGTTAACTTACCAGAGGGGCCCCCATTCAGCTGGGGCTCCACAGGTGCTTTGCAAAGCGCCTTACAAGGCGAGAGACTGCAGTGGTGGCGATGGCGCAACATGCTGAAGCTATGGTGGTACATGGTGGTAGCATGTGATGTCAATCGATATTCTGTTCATGTTTTGAATTGTTTTGATAGAATATATTTGATGTATTATTGCATATATATTTGGTTGGTGGTTTGGAACCATGGAATTTTATGACTTTCCATATATTGGAAATTTCATCATCCCAACTGAATTGCATCATATTTTTCAGAGGGGTAGGTCAACCACGAACCAGTATACCCTCTGGTAAACTAACATAACTATGGAAAATCACCATTTATAGTGGATTTACCCATTAAACATAGTGATTTTCCATAGCTATGTTAAATTACCAGAGGGTATGTTTATTGTGGTAACAGTCAATATATATCATCCCTTTCGGTGCCACTCGGTGAGGCTGCCAGCAGTCAAGTGAGCTGCCCGCAGACCAACACCAACACCAGCATGCCATCAGTTAGGAATCCAAACACCAAACCAGGTGATTGCAGTTGGTGGTTTTGGGTTGCCCTCTGGTAAACTAACATAACTATGGAAAATCACCATGTTTAATGGGAAAACTCACTATAAATGGCCATTTTCAATAGCTATGTTAAATTACCAGAGGGTGGGTGTTTTGGGTTTTTTCGTGGTTGGAAAGTGGGGAAAACCGCTGACGATGAACAGATGCGAGAAATCACCCGAGTCTACTCGCAGGTTTCGTTGCGCAAAGTCCGACTCAGTGACAGCTGAGTTGTTGGTAATCCGGTTAACCGTTCTGGGTTGGATAAAGATGCGGCTTTTGATTTGGGGATATCGAAACAACTGTTGTATCATCAAACAATATCAAACATTGATGTCTTGTTTCAACACACTGGTATCACACTGGTTTTCGTTCGTGTTGTGCTTCATTGTTTTTTCCCTTCGATTACATTTCTGCCTAAAGTAGGTTTTCTGATGCCTGCACTACTTTTCAATTTCTAGATATTATATGATATTATAATATGATGCTAAGTTCAAAGGAAAAAAACTGAGAATTTACACACTAGGATGTGTGCAACATTGGTTGCTCTGAATTTTCCTTGCCATTTTGTTTGCCAAGAGTATGTTAGCAATCTGTAGCCTGTGACGAACAAACGTCAGACACCAAAACGGCAAAAATAGTAAAAACAACGATTGCTAGTAGTTTCGCAAAAAAAAGAAAAGGTTTTGATCATAAATAGGTGTTTTTTCCAGGCGTGGTTTAATATGTGATCTGTAGCATGGCAAGTCACCAACCTTTTCTTTGTAAGACTACCAATCATGGAATCATGGCAGTTTACAGTGATTTTCACTTCTTGGTGCCTGAGCAGCGTTCAAACATGCTGGATACAGAACAACAATCCAGATCGCGAGAGCCGCGTGAAGTATCTGATCTCGGTGCGTGTTGGAATATCTAGGAAACTTGGAAATATCATAAAATATCATGAAATATCATGAAATATTACAATACTTCCGGGATTCTCGGCTTCTTCCCAGAGGTATTTGAATATCAGCAGCAATATCATAGGTGTAGGATGCTCTAGGTTCAATGATGTTCAATCTTATGGATGATGTCATATTGTCAGCCCAGGCCAAACTCATAGACACTCTACCCTCTGGCTTTTCTTAATTACAAAAACCATGGAACATCACCATTTTTCATGGGTAAATCAACGATGTCAATGGCCATGTTTTTTTTCGCGAACTCCAAGTCCTTGAAGCCGTTCGAGGTCTGGACGCCCTTGAGCTGTGAATTGGACTGCCCCAAGCTGAATCCGCCAGTTGGAATTGAGGCCAGCCTTCGACACAGCGGATGCTGTTGGTTTTTTCTTCGGGGATGAAAACAACGGCCCTCTATAGATGGAATACCCCAAAGAATTGCCAAAGAATAAGACATTTAAATGGTGGTTTAGCAAGTTTCAAAAAAAATGTAGAGATTCTATGAGATCCTGCAATACCATGGGGAAAACAACCGTTTTATAAATTAAGATCAGGAAATCATCCATGAGAATCCCGAACTAGGCAGTTTTTGAAGGGACGACAGCGCCTATGTCATTTTAGCAATTCCAAGCATTTCACAATTCCTTGAACTTTGATGAACTTTGCTGCTTTTCCTTTTTGTGGGATTGTTTCCAGCCCCTTTCAGTACTTTTTCCAATCGCAACAGATTAAATATCGACATATTGATATATAAAAGTACCTTGCCACTGGACCAGATCCAAGAGATTAAAGAAGATCAAAGAACTATCGTCCGCAGCGTCATTACGGGAGCTACAGTGAATTTGCCAGGAAAAGTTTTTACCAATACACAACTGCTTAAAAGTAGAGTCGATACAATTCAGCAGTTCTGCATCCATTCAGATTGTCTTACGGACATTTACAGAGTATAACTGGTTGGTGGTTTGGAACATTTTTTATGTTTCCATATATTGGGAATAATCATCCCAGCTGACTTTCATATTTTTCAGAGGGGTAGGTCAACCACCAACCAGATAAATAGAAGATCATAAAAGCATTGACCAATTTCAAAGCTCCAATTTCATCCCCCTGGGGTCAACCCCTCAGAACAGCTACCAAAATGATGTAGGCATGGACTTTTTTTGGCTATTTTGAAGGGGGTCCAACCTGGTGCAACCATAATGTAGAGCCACACATGCACAAAAAGAATGTAGTGACTTGGTATGCTCATGGGTGCCAAGTGCTGATTTCCAACAAACCTTCACGACCAATCTGCAGTGATCTTGGGTGGCCAGTGCTGACTTCAAGATGTTTTTTAAATCTGAGAATTGAAGAGAACTCTACAAAATGATTTTGACATTTTGCTGAAAACTGTGCAAAATCAAAACAGTGGTTTAGTTTTTTTTGGGAAATGTCAATCCATAGTGCCATAGTCTCACAATTGGGTTTGGATTTACAAAATGGGTTTGATTTGTTAAAGGGAAAACTCACAGATGGGTTTGGTTTACCTGGAGAGTTACAAAATGGTTTGATTTTTGCTGAAACAATGTAAAAAACATCTGAATAACATTTGGGATCTCTACACAATCATTTTGACACTATTTCTGGATAGGGCCACAGATGGGCTTGGGCTTTCCAAAATGGTTTTGTTTTTTTTGCTGAAAACACTGGACACATCTACAAAATGGTGTGTTTTTTTGGGGGTAAAATGTAAATCCATTGATTCACAGATGATTTGGACTTACAGAATGGTTTTGACCATTTTTGAAAAACTGAAGCTAGCTCTGTAAATGTTTTTTTTTAAAACTATTTGAAACAAAATGGTTTTTGCTTGTTTTTATTGAAGATACCCTCTGGTAAACTCACATAGCTATGGAAAATCACCATTTTTAATGGGTAAATCAACTATCAATGGGCAATTTTCAACAGCTATCTTAGTTTACCAGAGGGTACATTTCAAAACCATTTTGCTAGTAGCTTCCAATCATTCTGTAGTGGGGGGGTAGGGTCCCGGCTCCCCCAAGGCCCAACCCCTCCCCCCGAATTCCAAGGGGATCCAATTTCCAACATTCAATGCATCATGAAGCATGATATGGGGGGTCATTTTACCATTCAAAACCTATTCTTACCATATTCTTACCATATTTACCATATATAACCATATATTACCATATATTACCATAAAATTACCATATATAATCCCATATATTACCATATTACTACCAGAAAATTATCACATGAATTCCCATATATTACCACAAAAGTACCATATATATTCCCATATATATTACCATATATATTATCATGTATTCCCGTATATTACCTTTTTTTTCTGGAGGAATCAGCTTAATCCATTTTCACATCCATTCACTAGCTATGACTTTGTCCCTGACTTGCTCCATCGCGAGGCCAGTGAGCCGGCTCCTCAGAGCTCGTTCCAAATCGACCTCATTGGTGTGTTCCAAATTGCCCGGGAGACCGTGTGTATATGATATGTATATATATACATGACATATATAACAGATTGACAGATTGTAGATAATATATATATAATTACATATATATACACAATTCATGATTGAATATCCATGGATCGCATCCATGCTTATGTCATGTTAAGTTCACTTTTGACTTACACTGCAGTATCTATGATTTCACAGTGCCCATAGCCCAGGAACGTATCAGATCCAGAGGAGCAGGTGTGGCCGACTGACGCCCAAAAGTGACTGGCCCGGAGGGCTAGTTTTGTTGACTCCCAGTTGTATCCATCAAAAACTGGCCGACTGACACTTGTCAACTAGCCATGACTAGTCTGGGATATTTCTGTTGCGTTTTTTGGCCACCGTTCCGAGCAACAGTCGACAAACGGAGTTGGACTTGCATGTTTTCTTCACTGTGCCTTTGGTGTTATATTATACGGTGCTATATTGTAACGGAAAGGTGCCATCATTCTGCTCTTTATTTGTTCGCTCCTTTTTATGTCATGTCATCAGTCATGTCATTTATGTATATCTCTTCATTATACCAGTCTTCACTATTTATAGATAGAGTGGTGTCCCAGTTTCCTGGCAATGCGCGTAGCGCAAGTTTTCAAACCGCTGGATTACTCAGCAACATTGGATTGTTTCCAAGGTCACCCCCCTAACAAAAAATAAAGATAACAGCAATAGTAATAAGAATAAGAATACAGCCATGTACACATGCACACACAAAAGCAGCAAACGATGATTTTTTCAAAGCTTGCACTTAAGTCAGCCATTTCTTCCACACCCCCGCCACTGAACTCACTACATGTCTTCGAAGGGATGAAATTTTCCTGTCAGAAGCATCATGAGCCATGAGCCATCCGCCTAAAGACAGTCCATGTGATTAAAATTGATCCCCGAAAGGCCCCAGACTCGAGTGACTCATTCAGCAAGCTACTCTATTGTATAGAAGGCCCTTCCCTTCTATAGGAATGTATGGGAATATATAATAATAATACTACTAATACTAATAATACTAATAATACTAATAATACTAATAATACTAATAATAATAATACTAATAATAATAGTAATAATAATATATATAATATATATGTATAGATATAGAAATATCCCTAGGAATATATAGGGGCAACATCTGATATGTGTTGCCTGCAGTTGTCAACTTGTCAGGCTCAGTGGCAATGTTCCGATGGCTTCATTGGAACTGCCACCAGGACAGCGTTTTTGTTCATGGAAGATGCGTCGTGAAGATGTTTGGGCATGGACATCTATGGACGATGTGGTTGTTTCATGTTGTTTCTTTGTGGCTGTGAAACCAGGCTGCCAAATTTTTGTTTCATGAATTTTACCCTCTGGTAATTTAACATAGCTATGGAAAATCACCATTTTCAATGGGAAATTCCACTATAAATGGCAATTTTCAATAGTTTTTTGTATGTTTACTAGAGGGTACCCATACTCGTGACGTCGTGAGCTTGCCAGTGCGTGATGAGTCAATGAGAGTTTCTCCACATGGCCCACCTGGCTCCCAACAATAGGTGAGTCTGAATATAGGGCTCCCCCAAAATGTCATGGTTTACCCTCTGGTAAATTAACATAGACCCTGAAAATCACCAATCTTTAGTGGAAACTTATCTTCCAAACCCTATCTGCCAGGGTCTATGTTAATTTACCAGAGGGTATCATTTTCCCAACATGTTTAAAACATTGCCCATCCCCATCTCCAGACACCCCACACAGTATCATGTTCGACATGAACATGAATGAACAGCATGAAGCAAGTGCCTCTGTAAATGGGGCATAGCCGGCAGGTGAAACTCTGGTATCTCTTGGCTTGGTAAGTCTGATTCCTTGGGACATCAGCGGTGCTTAAAGCCTTATGCTGAATGGAGCATGAGCTAAGCCAACAAAAAGACGGGTAAACACTGCAGATTGATGAGCTGCTTTTTTCGATGAAACCTTATTACTGTAGACCGCACATTCTGGGGGCCCGGTTTGAAACTTACTTTTGCCAGATGAACCAGCACCAAAAGTTCAAGGACAAAACATACATACACTCATACACTGTGCAAATACGGATGCATTGGTTACACACGATTGCCCCGGTGAACAATTGCATTTTTTTTCCGGTTACACATACCGACCCCTGCAGCTTGTGACAATGACAAATTCAAGATATAAACCCGGAATTCAGATGGGAAAAAACTCACAGGTTTACACATGTGAACCAACATTTTCCAGGGGGGGTTCACTGTTTCACATATTGTTTTTCAAGCATACACCCGGTAGTTTAAAAGTTTGCCATTCAAAATGGCCATTTATATATAGTTGATTTATCTATGAAAAAGTGGGGGATTTTCCAGTTCGCTTTTTGTATGCCAGAGGCTACGTGGGATATCTATGGATATCTTGGTTGAGATGACTCATATTTTTGGGATGGGTTGAAACTGCTGAAAAAAACACTTTAAAGAGTTTCAGATGTCACCGCCAGGGTTTGTCGACTCTTGGATGACTGTGGGAGCGAAACGGTCTTCAGCGGCTGTTCCAGGCGTTGGCCATCATGTGGACTGCGTTACATTTGTGTCAAACGTAGGATACATAGAAATACAAAGAGCTAATCCTGTAGATATAATTTGATCTATTTGTATACTGTATACTTGTCATATATACCCCATAGGATCCATGTATGGTATATATGCTAACATTGGGGGTATATTGATGGGATCCATGTTACCATATATAGCATACATGGATCCTATGGGTACGTATACAGAAATGAACTTCACGAGGGAAAGGAATAATGAAGAGTGGGAACACAATTTCGCTGCCCCATGGGAAACCCCATGGATTTCATCAAACAAAACATCCACGTTGCGATAAAACTTTAGCTTTACAGATCTGAAAAGACATAGCCTCCTGCAAATGAAATATATTAACATTAATATGTGGAAACACTAACTATTTATAGATCATTTTTCTAAACCATTGTTTTCCAGATCTTTTTCTCTATATGTTTTCCGGGCAAGACATGAGGCTCGTGCGTTTTTTGTTGGGTGTTTCCATCCCTTAAGCCACAGGCTGCTGCCGTGCAGGGCCTTTGTCACAGACCTTTGTGGTGTGAATGCCGCTGGCTCAGCGGTCATGGACATCTTGCAGTGAATCAATTCAGGCAATTCTCGATACTGGTAGTATCTTCCGTAATGGTGAGAGAATCATTCGCTTGTATGGTGACCGTAGTGACTTGTTTTTGTGGTTCATTTTTGTCGATCAAATGAATCAAATGGTCCATCTCAAAAGCCGTTATGCAGCCGCAGACGCAGGGATCCAGCTGCCAGTCCTTGCAGCCTGGAGAAAGCTGTCGAATCACCTGTGTTCAAGGCCCACAACATCAGGGTTGTCGAGGGGTTTATAAGGGTTTACAAGGGTTTAAAAGGGTTTATAATCCCATCTCTGCATACGCAGCCAGAAACATCAGAAACCATGGTTTGAATCAAGGAATTTACAAATTATTTCAAGGCCCCAGCTAGAACGAGGCTCTTTAATATTGTATAGGGGGCTGGGAATAGTAAAGGGAAGGGATTGTTGATGATCATTGATGATTGCATCCCAAAGGCCATGTTACAAGGCGCTTAGACCTTGAACTTTCTTGAACAGGTTCCATGTGACAAGACTGTATAACGAATGAATATGAAATGGAACACTCATTCCCAGAATCTCAAGAGATTGGGACATGTTTTGTTCGAGAAAACCCACATTGTGATTTTGCAATTTCATGAATCACTCAAGGTATTGTTGGTGTTGCACTGAAAAGTTTTCTTTGGGCGGGAGGGAAGCCATAAAACAAGAAATGTTGCAAACCTGATATTTCGCTATAGGGTAAAAGTAGAGATGAGCCATACTGCCAAGATACTCCAAGGTATGTTCCTCAGAGTAGTTTCCACAGTTTATTGTATAAAGACCCCTTATCCACTTGTTTCTCTTCTTTGTTGCCGCTTAGATTCGCCGATGACGCAGCTTTAAAGTGCTACAAGTTGCACTCTACAACATTTGGAGCTCCCTTTATTATCTTTATTTGAAAATAGGTCAAGGCAGAAAAGTTGCACATTTGATTATCAGTGATATACTGGGCCTGCTGGGATCCTGGAAGCGAAACGCTCCAGTTTTGTCTTACAAAATCACGAGGAGCACTGCGCCAGGTCATGTTGGTGGACCCTTCAGTGCAGAATGCCCAGCTGGGAACATCATCTTCAACAGGCGGACAAGCTGGGTGTGGCTGGGCGTTGCGTGACTGGGATCCGATGGGATTGAACAGACTTAGATGTTGCGCCAGGAAATTGAAAAAAAAACGACAAAAAACATGTCGGGCGTGATTTCGAAGTGTCGAAAAAAGATATCAATCGAGAAAGATGAGTTGGCAGCGATGCTTCCAATGGGATCATTCCTGAAACAGCGATGGTTCCGCCTTTTGAGTCGAAAATTCACCGTCAAGCTGTTGGTGTCTTTGATGTTTGTCAGGGATGTTTTTTTTTTCCATCGGTCAGCCAAGATTTCATGTGCAGATCTGAGTGATCTTGGAACAACTTCCAATTGTTTTCCAGTTTTTTTTATATTTGGAATACATAAGAATCAATTGAACTTATTAGAATCCCTCTTTCCAATTGGATCTGATGTTCCAAAGGCATTGTTTTCATTTCAGAGTTCCGGCATGGAGTTTTGTTTCTCCGCCATGGCCTGCCGCCGCCGGGCGAAAGCGCCGAAAGCGCGGCAGCTCTCGGGAATCGCGTGTGCGGCATTGATGGCTTCGCGGTGGAGCAATTTGGATGAAAAATGATCAGGTTTGAATGGAAAATCACTATTTTTAATGGGTAAATCCACGAACTAAATGGCAATTTTCAATAGCCATGTTAGTTTACCAGAGGGTTTTTTTCATCCATTTTTTTTGGATTTCATCAGATGTATGGAATTTGAATGGATTTTCAATCGATTTCCAATGCGAGATTTCAAGGTTTCTGCCAGGTGTCAGGCAGAAAATGGTGAAGTTCCGGCTCGGGCTTCTGGATTTCTTCCAAGGATTTTCACGTGAAAAGTCATAAAGAGTTCAAGCTTTGAAGCCTGCAACTTGAAGTGCCCCCCAGGGATAGTCTAGATAGGTGGTTGCCAACGTCAATTTATGAGGGATATTTATGGATATGTTTCTATTTTCTCATATATTCTTATGATGAATCCATTGAAAGCCCCCTTTGAATGGTAAGATAAGGATAGATATGGGGATTTCCATAGTCATGGGGATACCCCTTTATCGCTGGATGGTGTATTTCATGGAAAATCCATCCTATAAATGGATGATTTACCCTCTGGTAAACTAACATGGCTATTGAAAATTGCCATTTAGTTCGTGGATTTACCCATTAAACATAGTGATTTTCCATAGTTTCTTGTATGTTTACCAGAGGGTAGATTGATTTAGGGGTACCCCCATTTCAGGAAACTGCCCATATTCAAACTTGGGAGGTTCGCAGTTCCCCTATCGAAGTTGTGCCAAGGTCGTAATCTTTGCATCCCCCTTGTGGATTTGGAAGGCGTGGCGCAGATTTTTGCAGATATCCATAGACTTGAAGAAATATAGGTGGTGAACAAACAAAAACACATTCCCCGGGGTTCATGAACTGGTTATTGGGGTAGACATCTAGAAATGGTATGTCTATCATGACTCCCAGTCATGGAAAAAAAGGGATGGTATGGCAAATCACCGGCCGTTTGCAGCAAAAAAACACAGCAACAATGGGAGCAGCACTCCACAAACTTGTACCCTCTGGTTATTTGACATAGCCATGGTATAGATGGCCCATAGAAATAGATGGTTTCCCTATGAAAAATGGTGATTTTCCATGGCTATGTTAGTCATAACCAGATGGCACCATTCAAGGTCCCAATGTTGGTTTGGAGACACTGTCAGCTTTGCGCTCGATCGGAGCATTTCAGGCGGGGAGAGAACTTGGTGAGGTTCGAAAGTTGAGACCCACAAAAAGAAGGCGACCACCTCAGAATTTCGATGAACTATAGTAACTATTTCGCTTTCTGGGAGTTTTTGGAGATTTTTGGAGTCTCAAAAATCGGGTTTTGTCCTCACTTCAAATGCATCACATCCGCACAAGTTTTCTTTTATATTCCAAGATGATGAAAAATGAGCTTTCACTTACTGTAAGTTACTTAAGTTACCACAGGGGCGTCAAGATCATACCACTTAAGTTGCCACAAGCCTCACAAGAGCCGGATGGTCTCACAAAAAAGGCGCTTGTGTAGTTTGCCATGATGATCCATCCCATGCTGCAATGGTAAAGCTTGGATGTTGTGATTCAATCAGAAGAATTTAGGTTGTGATTCAAGTATTTCTTTGTCATGTTCATCCAACATCATGAAACTATATTAATTAGTCTATATCAAACTGCTTTGCCTTGTCGCAATCATTTCTTTCTATGGAAAGCATGCAGCATATTTTGTTTAGCCTTTTCAGGCTGATGCCTTCAATGAATCGAAACCTTTCAACTGAAACAGGTGCTACATATTTGTTTCCTGAAACATACTGCGCTTTTGAAAGATTTTTTTTACTCAACTTGTTTCCAGGGAGTACAGTTTTGGCACTCATACATCTCCAAAATGAAATGAATGTGTTTTGGTAAGCGAAAAGGTGCCATGTGTGCATATATATACATATTTATACACATATGACATATCATTGAAGAAACACATCATTGGCTATGCCCAAATCAGAGATGACTAGAGAGATGCCCGAAGGCGCGTCTTCCGGTCTCCTTGGAATACCAGACGTGCTGCTGCTTCGGGGATTTCAGAAAGATCTTAGCTATGTCTGAAGAGGTGCCGGATCGGTTCACCGGTGAGGCGATTTTTGTTGTTTTGCTTCGGAACCGAAGTTTCAGATGTGGGATAAATATCCCATGACGGATCCATGTATGCAATATATGGTAACATTTACCATCAATATACCCCAAATGTTAGCATATATATATCATACATGGATCCTATGGGTATGGATAAATAATTGGCTGAGATCGGATTGGATTAAATTGGACCAACGATGAAATTTATGAAATTTGGGACCAAGACAAGAACGCAACAGATACGGTAGGTATTCGAGATGATGTGTACGACATTTTTGATCTCAGGTTGTTGTGGGGAAAACACCAATGGTGTGAATGCATTGTTGTCTCAAGTAAGATCGCTGACACAACCTTTGCAATATACATATATATATATATAACATATATAATTATATATATATAATATCATAATCTTGCTGGTATTGTTTCATTCTGATCGGCCATGGAGCACCACATGAAGGCTGTCACAGTTCGCAGCGATTCGAATTCCGCCAGGAGAAGCGCCGCTTTATGGTGGGTAAGGATTTGCTTTCTTTGCATGGCTATCAGCCGAAGGGAGAGCTCGGTGAACGTCTTTTGGCGAGGGAAGAGGGAAGCTATGACATGACTAGTGCCACTTGACCAGTTTTCTTTAGGGCAAAAAAATTAAAAAGGCAATCTTCAAGGAGCACCATTTCGGAGCAAACATTGAACTGGAATGTCTCACTAGAATACAACATAAAGGTTTGTGGATTGGGCTGTAATTATTCCTTCACCCCCATAAACCCATATACCCATATCCTGGAAAAAAAGGAGACTTGTGTTTTTGTGGCCTGCATAGTAGGGTGGGGCTGGAATTTGCCTCATTCAAGGTGCTAATCGCAGCATGGATCAGGTTTGTCGCAGAGCAAGGGTTGTTCGAAATAAAACCCTACACTTTCTCCTGAAGAGACCCCACCCTTTGCCAATGTCACTGTTTCTTGAAAAAGTAGCTGGTGCTCACAGGGTTCTATGATTTTCTGAAAGCTTTCAGCAGGTCCCCTTAAACATTCGCAAGTCATTGCAACAAAATGGAATTTATTTCGGTAGAAGCCAGGATAAAACACCCTCAAAGTCCTAAACAATGGTAGCTGCTTTGTGTGTTTTGCAGGGCGTGTAAGATTCTAGACGGCATCAAAAATCATGCAAACTCTGGAAAAGCAAAGGTCTCAACATATGGAGGATTGTGGTCAAAAGAGAAAACAGGTGAAATGAGACTCTGAATCACAAACCTCACAAGCAAAATGCTTTGGAAAACAAATACATTATTTCTGCTTTTCCAATGGTATCCAATGTTTAGCTTGCATCAGATCTCTTAAATTTAGGGACTAGTGCCCTACGAGGAATCTGCAAGAAACCTGAAGGCACATGACGTAAAACACTTTCTCGAAACAGGTTAATACAAAAGTCTTGCAAATTCTTCCCCCATTTTCCCGTGTCACCATACCATTGTAGGCTGAGTGGGGAATAGGGCGGGTGGCAGAGTGTGGAGTGTGGAGTGTGGAGTGTCGAGTGTCGAGTGTGGAGTGCAAACAATGCAGAGTGTGGAGTGTAGACTGTAGGGTGTAGGGTTTAGAGAGTATAGGGTGTGGAGTGTAGAGCGTAGGGTGTAGAGTGTGGAGTGTCGAGTGTAGAGTGTGGAGTGTAGAGTATAGAGTGTAAAGTGTGGACTGTGGACTGTGGAGTGGAGAGTGTGGAGTGTAAAGTGTAAAGTGTAGAGTGTAGAGTGTAGAACGTGAAGCACTAAGTGTAGAGTGTACGAAGAATTACACTCTCACCATGTACCACTCCTACCACGAAATTTGCATGCTGTCACCGCTTGACGCGGCACTGCCAATGTGATTCGCAAAAACCATGCAACACCACACGTCGAAAGTGCTGCGCCTGCCACTAAAAATGGACATAGACAATCATAGCCCTGTGCGTCAGAGACCTATTGGGTATAGGTCTTTGGAAAAAAGACCTAAACGCGAATCTTGGGACCTATCCATGGAAGGGTGCCGCAGGAGGGGTTCAAGATGTGCACAGCCCAGAGACATAAATCATTTTTCCAAATTTCTTGAAGAGAAACAATCGAAGATAACAAGGTATAGAAGCCGAATGCTGGAAGGTACCGGTGCTGAAACTTTGAGTTGACAGCCTTAAAGGGCCTGATGTACAATTACCCATAGGATCCATGGTGCTGCTATATATGGTAACATGGATCCCATCAATATACCCCAAGCATCCCCAAGCATATATATACCATACATGGATCCGTCATGGGTTATAATTCAATTTCTTGAAGCTGTCATTGTCAACACAGCCGAATCGCTGAAGCTGTCATTTTTTCAGAGA